TTGGAAACGGACCCAACCATATGCAGTTGCGAGTAACGCGTTGTAGGTGCCACTTTCAGTGGAGCTCCCTATGGGGCCACGAAGCGCGTGAGGGACGTGCCGTAATGGATGGGGGAGACGCATGCGGGCGGTGCTACTGGGGTCTTCGGTGGAGCCCCCTATGAGCCCACGAAACGCTGTACGGGGCGTGGCTGACGCATGCGGGCGGTGCCCTTCGCTGGAGCTCCCGATGAGGCCACGAAGCGCTGTACTGGTTGGGGGAAACGCATGCGGGCGGTGCGGCCGGGGTCTTTATGTGCAGCTCCATACGGGGCCACGGAACGCTGTACTGGGTGGTGGCAGACGCATGCGGGCGGTGCCATTGGAACCTTCTCCCTATGCGGCCACGGGAGGGGGGGACTCATGCGGGCGGTGCCACTGGGGCGTTCGGTGGATCTCCCTCCCTACGGGCCCACGGGGCGCTGTAGTGGGTGGGGGGTCGCATGCGGGCGGTGCCACTGGAGCTTGGTGGAGCTCCCAATCAATGAGGCCGCGAAATGCAGTTCCAGGTGGTGGACGACGCATGCGGGCGGAACCACTGGGGTCTTCCGGCGGAGCTCCCGACGGGGCCACGAAACGCTATATTGGGTGGTGGCTGACGCACGCGGGCGGTCCCATTGGGACCATCGATGGTGCTCCCCATGGAGCCACGAAGCGCTGTGCTGGGTGGTGGCAGACGCATGCGGGCTGTGCCACTGAGGATTTCGGTGGGGCCCTCCTATGGGGCCACGCAGCGCTGTGCTTGGTGGTGGCTGACGCATGCGGGCGGTCTCATTGGGACCTTTGGTGGAGGTCCCTGTGGGGCCACGAAACGCTATACTGGGTGGTGGCTGACGCATGCGGGCGGTCCCACTGGGACCTTCGGTGGAGCTGCTGGGTGGTAGCTGACGCATGCGGGCGGTGGCTGACGCATGCGGGCTGTGCCACTGAGGACTTCGGTGGGGCCCCCCTATGGGGCCACGCAACGCTGTGCTTGGTGGTGGCTGACGCATGCGGGTGGTGCCACTGGGGCCTTCGGTGGAGCCCCCCATTAGGCCACGCAACGCTGTGCTGGGTGGTGGCTGACGCATGTGGGCGGTCCCATTGGGGCATTCGGTGGAGATCCCTATGGGGCCACGAAGCGCTGTACCGGTTGGTGGCTGACGCATGCGGGTGGTGCCACTGGGGCCTTCGGTGGAGCCCCCCATGGGACCACGAAACGCTGTGTTGGGTGGTGGCTGACGCATGTGGGCGGTCCCACTGGGGGCTTCGGTGGAGCTCCATATGGGGCCACGAAACGCTGTACTGGGTGGCAGGGAGGAGAGGGAGGAGGGGCGGGAGGAGGGGGGACCGTTTCTTCAAGACGAGGACCCAACACCACAGGATTGTTGGGAAAAAGTGTGGGTGTGGATTGGCGTGCGCTGTGTGTGTGTGTGTGTTTGTTTGGGTGTGGATTGGGTGGGTTGTTGTTGTGTTTGTTTGGCCCGCGAACGATTCATGAGCTCATGTCGATGGCAACAAGAAGAGCGGCGAGATACACTGGACCGGCATCACGAGGCCAGCACCGTTGTACAGTGCGACGTCTCATCGACGCAGGCTTGTGCACGCTAGTCCAGGCCCTAGGGCTGGCCCACCTGCGTGAGCTTTGACCATGGACCATCTGTGGTCAGTAGATTCACATGACAAATTCTTCTAGCTTCTTTATTTACATACTCTGCCGTGCTCACTCCAGCAGCGTTGTACTGTCATCCTAGGACTGCACCAGTGCTGCCCCGCTTGTCATTGCCTTCCAGTTCCGTCTATGCGCTCGCCACATGCGCACGCGCTGAGTTGGCAAGTGCAGATGATGTCTTTTGTATGCAGCTCAGGAACTTGGCGTGTGCAACACATGCCCGGCATAGTGGGTTATGTTTGTACAGGTACACTCCAGTATTTCGATGATGAACAACGTGGCGCGATCGTCATCTCCCGTCGTTGTCGAGAGTATGGTCTGCATTGGATTATCGGAAAGGCCCTACGGCTGTCTCTGCCGACTTTGAAAGTGATGATGAGGCCCCAGATATGCCACGAGAGAACCGCGAAGCGCACGACGGCAGGTCGACGATCATCCCAGAGCGGCTTTAGTGGCCGTGCCACCTCAGTCGAAGACGCCTACGGCGAATCATCGCCGCACCCCGCCCCTGTCTTTTGAAACAGTTTATGTGGCCGAACGTTGCGGCCAGAGTTCGACCATGCTGTCGGGCTTTGTGTTCTCCAAGCCGTTGTGAAAACGCTTCGGGGATCATGAGGGGGAGAAAGAAGAGGAGAAGGAGAAGGAGGAGGAGGAGGAGGAGGAGGAGGAGACGATGATGGTGATGATGATGATGACGATGCTGATGATGATTATGATTCATCAATGATGATGATGATGATGATGATGATGATGATGATGATGATGATGATGATGATGATGATGATGATGAGGATGATGAGGATGAGATGATGAGGATGATGAGGATGAGGAGGATGAGGGATGAGGATGAGGATGAGGATGAGGATGAGGATGAGGATGAGGATGAGGATGAGGATGAGGATGAGGAGGAGGAGGAGGAGGAGGAGGAGGAGGAGGAATGTGAGGCGTCTTGGGAGCCCTTAGGGCACTCTTGTGGCCTCCTGGTTACCTCTTGGAGGGCTCCTCGGTGCTTCTCTGGGCCTCGTGGCGGTGTGGGAGGGGGGCGCGGTACCGCGGTGCCGGTGCCCGCGGCGTGTCGCGCCAGAAGAAAGCGGTCGGGGCGCAGGGGAGGCGTCGGCGGTGGGGGCGGGGGGGAGCTGGGCTGGCTGTGGGGAGCCAGGCGGCGGAGGAGGAGGAGCTGGGGTGGACGCGCGTGGGGCGGGGGGGGGCGGAGGGGAGCACGTTGCTGGTGCGGTGCCGGTGCCGCGCCGGAAGAGAGCGGGCGGGGCGGAGGGGGCGCGCCGGCTGGGGAGCGAAGAAGAGGAGCTGGCTGGCTGCGGGCGGGAGCGTGGAGAGGGGGGGCGGTGCCCTGGCCGGGGGGCGAGGAGGAGCTAGGCTCGCGGCGAGGAAGAGCTGGGAGGCGCGAGGGGGAGCTGGGCTGGCGGCGGGGAGGGAAGAAAGACGGGGGTGCTCCCTGGTGCGAATGAGTTATGCCGTGCCTTGCCGCAACAAAGGCGTCGCAGCTCCAGGCACAGGTGACATTTTCTTCTAACCAAAATACTCTCCTCGACAAAGCCAGGGTAACACGCCTGCCCCAGAGGCGGCCCAAGAGGCGCCCGAGCCGGCCCCGCGGCCGACCCGACGGGCGGCGCGGGGCGGCGCGCGCGCCGAGGGCGCCTGGCTTGGGGGCGACGGCGGGTTCGAGTCGAAGGAGAGACAACGGCACAAACATAACTTGGCATCGCTCGGACGTGTGTATGTTTTCTCGGCGAGGACCATCGAAGAGCATCCTTGATCATCGAGCAAAGAAGACCACGCACGAAACCGACAAATGCACGGGAAATGGACGTCGGAGCGATGGCGAGATAAAGTTTCTCAGCCACGCGCAGAGGGGGGTGGGGGGAGGGGGGAGGGCTTCTTAGAAGCACCCCTGCTTCTTAGAAGGCGCGGGCCTTCTCTATAGATGCAAGGCCGGCGCCTTCTAAGAAGCAGCCTCCTCCTGAGAAGGCCTCCCCCCTCCCCCTCCGCCGCCTATTGCGCGCCGCCAAGAAAAAAACATGCACAAAGTCAGAGTTTCCGAGCTCCGCGTTGCTTTCGTGGGGATCGGCGCTCGGCCCCCCTGGCGGAGCCTCCTGCGCCGACCCTGGTGCGCTCCGCGCGCCAGGGAGGGGCTCCAGCGCCGATCCCAAAGAGTCCGCGCGGAGCTCCGACTGCTCTTGTTCATGCAGTGTTTCTCCTTCTACGGGTGCGCGCACTGGAGGCGCCTCCTCCTGATGCGTCTGCTCCGCGTCCGCTTTCAAGGGTGCAACCCTTGGGAGGTCCAATTCCGCATCGGCGCCGCCAGATTGCTCTCGTCGGGCCTTCTTCGCGCACCCTCGCGCGACGACTCTGGGGCGCGACTCGTGGGAAGGTCAAATCCAGCACTGGCGCTGGCACAACGTGGTCGCAAGCTTGCCTTGAAATCAAACCCCCCTCGCGCCACCCATCTGCAGGGCGCCGCCAGATTTCCCTCAGCCGCCCCAAATCACCGCACGCGCGCCATAGAGCCAGCCCGCATAGTAAGGATGGACAACCTTCCCAAACGTGTACCCTGGGACCCTGACATCCTTGCCTCCTCGGCTCATCCTGGGCCGCTCTCGTTGGCCGCCGCTCGGAAGCCTTCGAGACGGCCCTCCCTCCAAGGGCCTCGCATCCTCATCGTGCATCCGGATGATACGGGCTGACTGGATTTAGGAGGAGAAAAAACATCCAGACACAATTAATCGTCGAGACCCAGGAAAGTATGGGAAAATACAGGGAGTCCTTCTATTTGTGTTTATTTATTTGTGTGTCCTGGGGCCCCTTCATGGATTCACGACAGCCCGCACGCAACCGGCCCACTGCACCACCCACGCCTGCGGCCGCCCTCGTCGCAGCTCCGCCCGCGCGCGCTCGCCGCGCGCGGCCGCGACCCCAACCCTGGCAGGCGGCGGCCGGCGGCAACCCTGCTGCGGACGCCGGACTGGGGGGCGATGGCGAGTTCGAGGGCCAGGTGCGCGCGCTGGAGGCGCCCTCGCTCGTGGGGGGGGAGAGGGGCCCCTCGATCGCCGCGGGGGCTGCTGAGATGATAAGGGGGAAACACAAGGGCTCCCTCGAGGGCGCGAAGTTATTCGCGCTTCGCGCTTCGCGGTCCTCGTTCCTTCTCCCCCTCCTCCTCGTCCTCCTATTCTCCCTTTGGGAGGGCGGCGCGAGAGCGCGAAGTTATTCGCGCTTCGCGCAGCGCGAAGCGCGAAGTTGGGAGCCCTAGGAAACAGGTGGATGCTGAGGTGGGTTCGGCCCGGCCGAATCCAGCTGAGAAGAGGGTTGCACTTGCCCTGAGTGGCTCAAGGGCGCACAGATCTGGGCTAAGTGGTCGGAGCCCACTTGGAGGAGTTACCTCATCATCCTAAGCCACATAGGGCACTTGCAACCCACTGTCAAGTTGGTCTAGGCCAGGTAAAGCCCACTGTAGCATCCACTTCTAAACGCCCCATCTCCTTGGCAGCCCCCGCGGCGATCCAAGAAGAGGCTGGTTTTGGGCGGAAGCATGTGAGCGACAAAAGAGAATTGGTTTGTTCTCGCCGACCTTGGCGCCGAAGCTGCCCGCTTGAGGTCTTGCGTGAGCGCCCTCGTTTCCACTGGCGTGCCCTGCTGTCGACTCGCGTTAGACGCGGAGGGAGGTTGCCATGCCACCTCGCGCAAGGCCCGCTTCTTCTTGTCGCCCAAGTCAGTATCCCTCGCGGGCCGGGCCTCTGAGCCGCCGCGCCATGAATCCGGGGCGGTTCTTCGCTAGGGCCCCGCACGGAGCGTATCCTTGCGATCGCGATCAGGCCCCGGAGGCCAGACCTGAGGGGCGCCATGATCTGGATACATGTGCCGCTCGCGCGGGTGGACCCTGGAGACCGTTTGTGTTCATCCCCTGGCCAAGATCGGGCGTGACCGGGGCGCGGAGGGAGGGAGGGAGGGAGGGGGCCAGTGACGTCACGATTCTCGCCAGCGCCGTCTGGGACTGCTTAAGCACTTAGCATCGCTCGGACGTGTACATTTTTCCTCGGCGAGAACCATCGAGGACCATCCTGGACCATCGAGCAAAACAAAACGCACGAAACCGAAAAATGCATTGGAAATGGACGTCCAAGCGACGGCGAGAGCATGGCCAATTCTCAGACGGTGTTGGCGCGAATCGTGAGGTAGCCAGAGGGGTGGGCCCGGCCCGTCACGGTCGTCCTCACGGCTCGAAGCAGGAAAGTTCGAGGAAGCGTGTTGGTTGGGAGGTTTTCGGGCAGTTTCGTCGGTTCTCGGGAGCTTCCATAGGGGAACGAAAAGTGACATAAGCATAAAGACTCTGAGGTCCGCGCGGATTTCTCGGATCGGCGCCAGGGGCGGCGCCGGAGGCGCCGCCGGGGGGTCCCAGCGCCGATCCGAGAAATCTGCGCGGACCTCCGAGCTTTTATGTTTATGCCACTTTTTGTTCCCCTATTCCAACCTCGGCGCGTTCCAGCAGCCGCGCCTCTTGGAGGGCGTTCTCTGGGTGCCTGGGTCCTCCCGACGAGCCGCCCGGGAGCCGAGTTCACCCGAAATCCAGTGGGTAACGTTGCAGTCAGCCCGCATGGTCAGAATGCGCATCCTTCCCAACGGTACCCTTGCATCCTTACCTCCTCGGTCCATCCTGGGCCACTTTCGCTGGCCGCGCCCCGTTCGAGAAGCTTCGACCTGGGCGTCCAAGGCCCTTGCATCCTCGTCGCGCATCCTTATGATACCGGCCGATTGTAGCGTTCTCTTTAGTTTTGCGGAAGTCGATCAATGGAGAGGAAACATGTTGCCACATAATTTCCAGATGTCTAACAGATGTGTCAAACATGTTTGAAGTATGTCAAGAACATGGTTGAACCGTTTTTAGAACATGTTTTACAGATGTTATAAACACATGCTTAATTCAATGATCGGATTGTTAGAGTGTCCATTGTCATGGCATCCGCAAATTTAGTTCACGGCTCTCCACGCATCCTCAGATTCTTGCATCCGCTCGCACGGCCCGGTCGCCGTGCCAGCCTCTTTGCGGAGCTGTGGGGTGGGCGGGTGACTGTTCTTGGCAACCGTCGGGTGGAACCAAGCGCTGGAGTGGCGCGCTTTTCGTGCAGCTTTCGGCCGTTCCAAGGGGTGGTTGGGGAGTGAAGGAGAATGGTTCGGTAGCAAGTAATGGACCCTCCGTCCTTAGCGTCTACTAGCGTCGATTAGCGTCTGGGAGTCGATGAGACAGCCCAACTCATCGTCGACTGGCAACGATTAGCGCCGATTTAGCGTCGATTCGCATCGATTCACACCGCCTACGCCGCCGAGGAGCGTGCGAAGTCGCCAGCGGGGCCAAAATCTCTGACCTACCGGCGATGTATCACCGACTCTGGGTCGACGTTCCCCCCCCCCCTGAGCATTTCCCCCCCTTGCGTTCTCTCTAGCTCACGCATCTCCACGCATCCTCACACAGGCAACCCTCACAAGGAGGATGGGTAACCTTCCCGAGGGTACTCTTGCATCCTTGCCTCCTCGGTCTACCCTTGGCCACTCTCGCTAGCCGCGCCCCGCTCGAGAAGCTTGCAAGTGGGCGTCCAAGGCCTTTGCATCCTCATGGCGCATCCGCGTGATACGGGCCGGCTACAGAATTGTGGAGGGCGATCAATGGAGAGGAAGCGTGCTGCCAAATAATTTCCAGATGTCTAAAAGATGTTTAAACATGTTTTGGAAATGTAAAGAACATATTTAACACATGTTTAGAACATGTATTTCACATTGTAAACACATCTTTAATTCAATGACAGGATTGGTAGAGTGTCCATTGTCATGGCATTCGCAACTGTGGAGGGGGATAGGCTCAGGGGTGATGCACCGACCCCCCATCGCCCATTCATCGCCGAGATGGCCTCGATCGCCCACCCCGCCCGGCAACGTGCGGCTTCGCCAGCGGGTCAATCGCTGACCTACGGGCTCAGGGGCAACGTAGAGGGTACTCACTACCGGGTACTTCGGGAAGTTGCCCAAAGTTGCCAGTTTAGGGTGTCTTTCTGGCATTGCAGCGTTGCCCACATCGGGAAGGGTTGGCTTCGCCGGGTCACTTGCCAAAGGACCCGTCTGTGGAGTCCCCGTCAAATGGGGGCTGATCGGCGATGCATCCCCGATTCCAGGTCGATGTTTTGACCCCCCTGAGCCGGTTCCCCCCCGAGCGTTCTCTTCGGGGGCGGCCAGAGGGGGGTGATGACTAGGGGGGGAGGATATCATGGCGGAGGCCATGATATCTCCCCAGATGTCATGGCGCCTCTTCGTATTGTGAAGGCCTGACGGCCGGTGCCGCCGACCCTGAAAGTCATCGACGACGACCAGGATGGGGAGGAGGAGGAGGAGGAGGAGGAGGAGGAGGAGGAGGAGGAGGAGGAGGACGAGGACGAGGAGGCGGAGATAAGGGGGAGGAGGAGGAAAAGGAGGAGGAAAAGGACTCCCCCCTGGGACCCCCGCCCCGGGGAGGAGGACCGGCGGAGGACCGGCGTGGGAGAGGGGAGGGGAGGGGGAGGAGGACTCCCAGGGACGGATGCGTATCTGACTCCCCTCCCCTCCCTGGGACTCCTCTCCACCTGGGGAGGAGGATTCGAGGAGGACCGGCGCGCCGGAGAAGGACTGGCGTGGGAGAGGTGGACCCCCAGAGGCGATGCGAATCAGACCCCCCGTCCCCTCTGGGTTCCCCCCCCGCCGGGGAAGGGACAAAGGGAAGGGGTTTTAAGGCGACGCTGATTACAAGCAGTTTATAGCCGTAGTTGAGCATCACGAAGCAGAGCGCCTACTTACAATTTTTTTGACGTGACTACGACGTGGGTCGATTTCCCTCTATCCCCGGACTCCTTCCCCCGACGACGGGAGAGTGATCTCTCCTTCCCGACGGGGAAAGATAAACAGAAAAGGCGGCCCGTCGACGGGACCAGACACACCCTTCACGCACCCCAACAGGGTGGTCGGCGGATTTGGATACAATCTGGCCCCTCCATGGGCTGCGCACATGCGCCGGCCATGATTGGCGCAACCCCGTCTCAGACGCCCCCCTCTTGGCCGCCCCCCTGTATTTAACCCACGCATCTCCACGCATCCTCATATTCATGCATCCGCTCGCTCGGCCCGGACGCCGTGCCAGCCGTTCTGTGGAGCTGTGGGGGGGCGGGGGGCTGCTTCCGGCAACCATCGCGTGGACAAATCGCGGGAGTGGCGATCGTTTCGGGCTGGTTTCGGCCGTCCCAAAAGGCGATTGGGGTGTGAAGGAGGAACATCTTGGAATGGGACGGGCCGCAGAGAAGAGCGTTGCGCGGGTCCTGGTGGACTGAGAGGGAGATCCCGCGCCAAAGGATAGTGGAGTATGGTGACACATCGAGGGAGGAGTGGGGAGGGTGGGGGGGGAGGAGGTCGGAGGGAGAGGAGGGTCTCTCGCTTCAGAGCCCTAGCCCCATGACGATGTAGCAGGCTGGACATCTGAGCAGGGGAGAGGACCGAGGAGGAGGAGGAGAAGGAGGAGGAGGAGGAGGAGGAGGAGGAGGAAAAGGAAAAGGAGGGATAGAGGAGGGGAGAGGAGGGTGGGAGGAAGGTGAACTGAGGGAGCGAGTAAGAGAGGAGGGATGGGGGTCGGAGGAGCGGGAAGGGCGAAGTGGCACAAGGGGGACCAAGGGGACAGTAGGAGCACACGGGAGGAGGGGGCAGGAAGGTCCTAGCGAAGGGGGAGGCGACCGGGCGGTTGGTGATGGGGGCGACATTAAACAGGGGGGTTCAGAACAGGTCCTGAAAAAGGGGCCCATGAAGCCCCCTTCCGGGTCCGCGCTGGCTATCACGGGGGGCCTGAGGGGCCCCTGGAGAGCCGTTTCTTTCACCTCCCAGTGAGGCCACCCCCCTCACCGCGCGCCCGAGGCCAGGGAGGCAGGATGCTCAGGAGGGAACAAAACACACAGACACAATTAGTCATCGATTCTCAGAAAATATAGGAAAATATGGGAAGTGGGGGGGAAGACAAAAACACCGGAAATATAGGAAAATATAGGGAATATTTCTATTTGTGTGTATTTATTTGTGTGTCCTGGGGCCCCTTCAGATGCAGGGGAGCCGGGGCGCAGGACGAGGGGTGCCGCCCGCGGCCGCCGCCAGGCCTGGCTGGCCGCGCACCCGGGGCGCTTCCCGCGGGACTGCGGCCGCAGCGGGCCGGGCGAGGCGCAGGCCGGGCGGCGGGCGGGCCTCAGAGCTGGGCCTCCGCTCCGCATCGCTCGGACGTGTGCGTTTTTTTTTTTTTTTTTTTTTTTTTTTGTTTTTTTTTTTTTTTTTTTTTTTTTTTTTTTTTTTTTTTTTCTGTTTTTTTTTTTTCGGCGAGAGCCATGGAGGACCATCCTGGACCATCGAGCAACAAAAAAAAACGCACGAAACCGAAAAATGCACGGGAAATGGGCGTCCGAGCGACGGCAAGTCCTGGATGGGGTCGGAGCAGATGGGGTCGGAGGATCGCGCCGTATCGTCGATGCATCGGCGACGCGGCTCGATGTGGAGCCCGATGTTCTCCACGCTGGTCGCCGATGCATCGCCGATGCGGCGCGGTCCTCCGATATCAGAGGAGGAAGCGGTACCCATACCTCGAGGCAGAAACAACAGCACAAATGTAAATTGTTGTCGCTCCGCGCGGATTTCTCGGATCCGCGCTGGGGCCCTCTGGCGGCGCCCCCTGGCGTTCCGCGCGCCAGGCAGGGGGGTCAGGCGCGGATCCAAGAATCCCGCGCGGAGCGCGAAAGGTTGATGTTTACGCAGTTGTTTCTTCTTCTTCTTCTTCTAACACCGCTACCCTTGCCTCGTTTCCGCGTTTTGGGCCTCCTTGGAGGCCCTCGTCGCCACCGCCGGATTCGCCTCGGAGCGCTGGTCGGAACGCACCCCGGGAGAGGTCCAGGGAGCAGCGGCATGGATACCCTTCTGGGTTTTCCCAAACCCCCACCCCCAGGGCTCATTTTGACTTCTCGTGACTCGATTCGATTCGACCTCGATCGACTGATGCCGATTTGATTATGCTTCAGATTCCTATGTGGATTCCAGGGTCTCCACGGAGGCCTTCCTTGTCTGCCGGTGTCGGCCGATTCGAGTTCTCCCCACTTGGCTGCCGATTTTCGCCGATCCGATTCGATCCCCCCTCGGTGCGATCGAAATGGGTACGAAAGGACAGGATATATCGACCGAAAGTATGTTCTGAGAATGTGAGCAGGACTTGTTGTCGGTGTCGCCGCGGACGGCGTCCCTTCGAGACAGCATGCCGCCTGCCCAACAACGCCCGCTATCGATCTCGGGCATTCTGCCAATCTTTTCCGTATCCACTTTGGCCTCCAAGTTTTTTGTGTCGTCCCTCTATTTCGTCCGATCCGTTTCTCAAGGTCCTCTCCAATCAAGGTTGGTCCCTTTTGGATTATATAAATACAAGACTTCCCTACAACAACCACTCTAAATTCGTCCTGCCATGCTCAGTAGCAGTAGTTTGTAGGATGCCAAGGCGCACTTCTTACACAAACCCAACGAGCCCGCACGCCCGCTTTACGCCCGCAGGCCTAATTCAGCCGCCAAGATTGATTTAAGAAAACTAGAAAGGGAAACCATCATCAAGGACATTATTGAGGTGTTGTGCATACTTCCACGCGCACAGTTGGGATCGGGATGGTGCCAGCTCTTTCTTGTCGCTGCAGTCCTGCTGCCCCCCACGTGCAGTTGATTTGGGTCTCGAAGCCTGAAGTCGATGAGGGTCAGGGCCCGTCCCGACTTTCTGGCTGGAAAATTGTCCGAAAGCTCCCGCTCTCCCTCATCCTCCCTCTCTTTCGCTAGTCCTTACCAGTCGTGCATTGCTTTTTGTTCGCAGTGAGTTCCTGGCGAGACATCCCTTCGCCTAGCCTGCCCCGGGTCATCTGGCACTATGCACCAGATCCCCCGCCCTGCCAGGTTGCTTCGCGAATCGCCCTGTGTTTCCGGTCCTCGAGGAGGCGTCGCGGCCGCACTCTTGGCGGGCCTGCGCTCGCCAGGCATGGTCCCCGGTCGCGTTGTCACTAAGGGGGTGGTTTTGTTGAACAGGGGTCGTGCCCATTCCCGGGGGGGGGGGGGGAAGCAGGAGGAGGAGGCGAGGGGGACGAGGAGAAGGAGAAGGATGAGGAGGAGCAGGAGGAAGGAGCGCATGGACGAGGAAGAGGGAGCATGGACGAGGAGGAGGAGGAGGACGAGGAGGAGGAGGAGGAGGAGGAGGAGGAGGAGGAGGCGTAAGGGAGGAGAAGGAGGTCAAGGACCGAGGAGGAGGAGGAGGAGGAGGAGGAGGAGGAGGAGGAGGAGGAGGAAGACAAGGAGCTGGGCGGACAAGAGCACAGGAGAAGGGACCGAGAAGGAGGACGACGAGGAGGTCACGAGGAGGTCACGAGGAGGAGACAGCAGCAGCCCGTGTGAGGACCAGGAGGAGGAGGAGGAGCAGGAGGCAGGAGGGCTGCCCGGGCTGCCCGAGCGCCCGTGGGAGCCGCCCGCGCCCACGGCCGCGTGCTCTCGGCAGACCTCCCGCCCCGGCCGCCCGCGGGGGCCAGCTCGTGCCCTCGGTCGCCTGGCGCGCGGCGGAGGCACAGAGCTCAGGAGGGAACGAAAACCACACAGACACAATACATCGTCGATTCCCCAGGAGAAAATATATGAAAATATGGGAAGTGTGGGGGGCAAGACGCAGGCCCAGAAACTCTGGGCAAATATCGGGAATCCTGTTATTTGTGTGTGTATCTATGTGTGTGTGTGTGTCCCAGGGCCCCTTCAAGCAAGGGCGGAACGTACTGCTTTCGTTTCCCTTGTTCTGTCGTCGTGCCAGCTCTGCCGCGGAACGAAGTCCAGACGAAGATCGTCCACGAATTCGCCCCAATCACTGCTCAGCTCGAGCCCTGAGGCGTGCAAACCAAAAGCTTGCCGGCAACGGCCGCAAGCGCGGCTGCAGAGCCAGCGAGCCGCGCAGGGCACTACAGTCAACCTTGAGAGCAAGGATGGTCGACTGCCCTAGAGGAGCCCTTGCGTCCTGGCCTCTTCGGACATCTCTGGTCCGTCCTGCCCCCCTCTCGATGGCCAGCCCCAATCGAAGAGCCTCGGCATCCTGGGCCCTTGCATCCTTACCGCGCACCCTTACCTCGGAAACTGGAACATATACATCGCCAGTGTCGGGCTGTTCTTCAATCCCAGAACTTTTTGAGGGTTGGGGGCGACGTCGGAGTGGTTTTCCCCGTTTCCCCGGGGAAGCAACGAAACATGTATGCACCAGGATCCCGCATACACCAGGGTCCGCTTTCTTATGCGAATTCCAGTGAGGTGTCGTAGAAAACGTCGGTGTATAGAGTCTGGTCCCTAATTGCCATGTGGGGTGACTGTATTGGAGGTGGATAGACCTACCCTGACACGTCGGTTAAGGAATTGGCCGTTTCCGGTTCGCGAGAGGGCGTCGCGGCCGTCATTTTTGCGGGTCCCAGTCCGTCGGTTTCGGTCCCGGGCCGTTCTCCTGAAGGGGCGGTTTACTAAAGGGAGGCTTGTCCGCCGCCGACTGCAGGCACACCCAGGGCAGGCGGACAGGAAGAGGCGGCCGCGGAGCAGGAGGAGGGGAGAGAGAGAGAGGCCCGAGCCGCCGAGAGTGTCGGCGTGGCAGGGCGCGCGCGGGCGGTCGCACCGCAAGCCTTAAGTCGGGCCTGCCCCCTCTACAGGGGGAGCATTCCAAAAATCGTTAAAACATAATCTGGGGACGTTTTTTTCTCACCATTTTGAGTATTTCCGGGTATTTTGTTGACTATGATTTATTTTTCGTCCAAAATCCCTTTGTAGGGGGACACGCCCGACTTAACGCAAGCCTTGTACGACCAGTGAGATCGGTCGAAGAAGAAAACGCCATCTGCATAAACTTTTGGCGCTCCGCGCGGATTTCTTGGGTCTGCGCGCGAGCGCCCCAGCGGCGCCTTCGGCGCCGCCCCTGGTGAGAAGTGGGATCCAGCGCAGATCCAAGAAATCCGCACGGAGCGCCAACCGTTCATGTTTGTGCCGCTTTCTGTTCCCTTCTAACCGCGGATGTTGCTTGCATCTATGCACAGATACACGCAAGAAAAGGAAGGACACGACACAAAACAGCAACCACACAAAAATGGGCCCGCGCGCGTCGTCGTCGGCGTCGTCGTCGTCGTTGTTCTCGTCGTCGTTTTCGTCGTCGTTTTCGTCGTCGTCGTCGTCGTCGTCGTCGTCGTCGTCGTCGTCGTCGTCGTCATCGTCGTCGTCGTCGTCGTCGTCGTCGTCGTCGTCGTCCTGGGTCGCGCGCGGGCTCCTCGGAGACGACCGCGCTCCGCGCGTCGCTCGCCGCGGGGCCGGGGCGACTGCCCCTCTCCGAGGAGGCCCCGCGCGCGTGGAGGGCGCGAAGGAAGGCGAGATCTCTTCGCGCCCGCCCGGCGACGCGCCACGCGCTCCGCTCCGGCTCCCCCTCCCCCTCACCACTAACCCTCCCCCTCCTCCTCCTCCTCCTCCTCCTCCTCCTCCTCCTCCTCCTCCTCCTCCTCCTGCTCCTGCTCCTGCTTCTCCTCCTCCTCCTCCTCCTCCTCCGCTTCCTCATGATCCTGCTCCTCCTCCTGCTGGGGTAGGAAGGCCGCTTCACTAGGGAGCCACATGCGAACCCGACCCTCCCTCTCAGAAATCGTGGGGGGGAGGGGCAGGGTTCGCACGTGGCCCCCGATTCACCCCCGTGTCGGGGACCCCCCTTCTCGGAGGAGGAAAAGGTACCAACACCTCTACCCCCTCGCCCGTTTTCCCCTTTTTGGGGGCCTCCTGGGAGGCCCACGTCGCCACCGCTGGATTCGCCTCGAACTTCTGGTCAGAACGCACCCCGGGAGAGGTCCGGGGGGTAGCGATATCGGTGCCATTTGGTTTCCCCACAAAGGTCGGGGGCCCCCAAACGGTGCGGTGACCACACCGTGCGGTGAGTCGGTGGGGACTCTGGGTCACCGCACGGTTGTGGGACTCGGGTCGTTCTCCGAGGACGTCTCGGGCGACAGGGGCTTCTGGGGTCCCAAGACCGTGCGGTGACGGACCGCGCAGTGAGGTTTGGCGAGGTCACCGCACGGTCTGACACCGCACCGTTTCGGGACTCCCAAACAGCCCGCAGCGGCGGTGCCAGTGCAGGGGGCCGTGGGGCTCTGCGCGGGCACAGCCGCTGCGGGCTGTGCTCTGCACGGCTTCTCTCTCTGGTGATGGTGGTGGTGGGGACGGTGGTGGTGGTGGTAGGGATCGGGATGGGGATGGGCATGCTTGTGGTGGCGGTGGTGATGGTGATGGTGATGTTGTTGTTGTCGTTGTTGTCGTTGTTGTCGTTGTTGTTGATGATGGTGGAGGTGGTGATGGTGATTGTGGTGGTGGTGGTGATGATGATGACGACGATGATGATGTTGTTGATGATGATGACGCTGACGCTGACGCTGATGATGATGCTGATGATGATGCTGATGATGACGACGAGGATGACGAGGATGAGGATCAGAATCAGGATCAGGATCAGGATGATGATGATGAGGAGGAGGAGGAGGAGGTAGAACAAAGGGGGAGGCGCTGCAGGAGCAGCAGCAGCAGCAGCAGCAGGGCGTCCTCCTTTCCGATCCCCCCCCAATCCCAGACCCCCGACGTCGTGTTTGTTTCACAACGTCGACCCCCAGAGGTCTATAGACCTCTTCCCCGGGACCAGCTTCTCGTCCCAAGTCGTTTTTGGTCGGTCGTGACCCTCGTGACCAGCGGGAAGCCAAAAAAGTGCCCATCCATCTTGTTGCTTCCCGGACCCCTCCCGGGCTGCGTTCTGACCAGGGTCTCGCGGCGAATCCAGCGGTGGCGACGGGGGCATCCCAGGAGGCGCAGAGTTGCGCAAACGAGGCAGAGGCAGCCGTATCGATACCGATTCTTCCAAGGGTCCGCCCTCCCCCCTTCTTCCGCATCCCTCCCGCCTCCTCCCCCCCCCTGGTGCCTTCTTCCTCCCCCCCACCTTCCCCCCCTCCCTGCCCTAGTCCTGCCTCCCGTGTGTTCGCTCTCGGACGCACTCTTGGCTCGCTCGCTCGCTCGCACGCGCTCCAACCCCCCCCCTCTTTCCCCCCCTCTTCCCCGCCCTCCTCCTCCTCGTCCTCCTCCTCCCAGCTCCTACAATCGACCCGCATAGAAAGGACGGGCAACCTTCCCAAGGATACCTTCGGATGCAACTCCTGCGAGGTCAAATTCTGATTTTGCCCTGGTCCGAAATCCGGCTTAATGCCGCTTGATCCCGCTTCATCTGGCTTCATCCGAGGCGGCGTAACAGCTCCCAAATGGGACTCAATCTTCCTTAATCTTTCCGACGAAAACCTCCCAGTGGTTGCTTCCCAAGATGCCCTTACATCCGTGCCTCCTCGGTCCATGCCTGGCCTCTTTCGCTGGCCGCGCCCCGCTCGAAGAGCTTCGAGAGATGGGCGTCCAAGGCCCCTGCACCCTCTTCGCGCATCCTTACTGTACGGGTTGACTGTACAGTCGGCCCGGATTAGTGGGTCGACCCTGCCAGCTCAGGGGTACTTTTTGTGTCCTGTGCCTCGCGACACGTGCCTTCTTACACTGCTATGGCGATGTGGCCCTCGGAAGGGTCTTGTGTCCTCTCGCGTGTCCTGTCTAATCAAGGCCGTTTGTACTTGGATCGCCGCGGGGTTAGGTGGGTGCTATCCAGCCTAACCCAGCTCACAAGTGGATTGCGCGTGCCCTAAGTGACTCAACGGTACACAGCTCTGGGCCAAGTGGGCGGGGCCGACTTAGCGGAGTTGCCTCGCCATCCTAAGCCACATGGGGCCTTTTGATTAACCCACTGAGAGCTTGGGTTGGGCCAGATCGAACCCCTTGTAGCAACCGCTTCTCACACCCGCATCCCCTTGGCAACCCTCGCGGCGATCCAAGTACCATACGGGTTGGCTGGAGGAGGAGGAGGAGGAGGAGGAGGAGGAGGAGGAGGAGGCGGAGGAGGAGGAGGAGGAGGAGGAGGAGGGAGGAGGAGGAGGCGGAGGAGGAGGAGGAGGAGGAGGAGGAGGAGGCGGAGGCGGAGGAGGGAGGAGGAGGAGGAGGAGGAGGAGGAGAGGAGGAGGAGGGAGGAGGAGGAGGAGGAGGAGGGAGGAGGAGGAGGAGGAGGGAGGTGGAGGCCCTCCTCCGAACAAACGCGCCGCCCAGCTGTCGGCCTTCCTGCGCGCGCGGCTGCACGAGTGGGCCTCCGGGCGGCTGCCGGAGGCGCGGCGGGCGCGGCTCGCGGCCGTGCCCGGCGTGGAGGCCGTCGCGCCCGCCGCGCCCCGTGCGTGCTAGGTTCCAGTCGGGCACGCCTCGTTGCAATCCTTCGTTTTTTTTGCAATCCTTCGTTGCAATCCTTCGTTGCAATCCTTCGTTTTTTTGCAATCCTTCGCTCAAGTTTTTGTTGCAATCCTTTTTTTGCAATCCTTCGTTTTTTTGCAATCCTTCGCGCGCCTCTCCACGGGAGGAATATTCGAACATGGTAGAACAATCGTCGGGTGAGGATCTTTGTGCTTCTTGTAGGACTACGGCGTAGAGCATGTTCTGCTTCTTGTAGGACTACGGCGCACAGTCGGGCACGCCTCTCCACGGGAGGAACATTCGAACATGGTAGAACAATCGTCGGGTGAGGATTTCTTTGTGCCTCTTGTATCGGGGGTGGACGGAACCCCCAACAGTGACACGTCGATTAGTGAATTGTCCGTTTTCGGTTCTCGAGAGGGCGCCGTGGCCGTCATTTTCCAGGCTTGCGCCCGCCAGGTTTGGGCCTCAGGTCGTTGTCACTAAACCACGTTTTACTAAAGGGGGGTCTGTCCACCCCCGATTGTAGGACTACGGCGTAGAGTATGTTTTGACTCTTTTCGCTGTTCTTTTCAAAGGCCGCCTGTAGGAGGACATGCCCGACCTGAGAGTACAGATTTATGGGTCATGTGATTCTGCTCTCCTTCTGGCGCCTTCCTACTTCAACAAGGATCCGGTGGGTTCCCCTTGTCCTTCATCTGTTCGGTTGCGGGCGGAAGCCCAGTCTACTTTCAACGCCTTTCTACTTCATGCTTCCACCCTTACGTCGGGCCTGTCCCTCTACAGGAGGAACATTCAAAAATAGGCAAAACATAGTCTGGGGACTATGTTTTAAGTATTGTTTGACAACTTTGGAATATGTGGGGGTATTTTTTTGATGTTTCGTCGAAAATCCCCCTGTAGAGGGACACGCCCGACTTCATTCTGCCCACTTGTCTAGACCAACGGGTAAGTCAGCTGCATGTTCGGTCTGGCCGGCCACGATCCCTTGCAGCAGGTACGGTAAGGTGCTTATGGCCGGGCACTCACCCCTGTCCCGGCACGTCCTCGTTGGCCCACCTCGCGGCTCGACCCGCCGCTTCACCTCTTTGCTGGCGTGATTTCGGATGCAACTCCTGGGAGGTCAAGTTCTGATTTTGCCCTGGTCCGAAATCCGGCTGAATCCCGCTTAATCCCGCTTCATCCCGCTTCATCCGGCTTAACCCCGCTTAATCCGAGGCCCACTCCGGCGTAACAGCTCCCGAATTGGGCTCAATCCTCCATCTCTCCGACGAAAACCTCCCAGTGGTTGCCTCCCAAGGTAATTTGCTGTGTTTCCTTCCGCCGTCGTCATCGTCGACTCCGGGCTGGAGAAAACGTTTTTTGCCGTTGTGTTTTCTCCAGGCCTCCCAGATGTCGGAAGCGGAAAAGAGGGGGGTGATGACTAGGGGGGGGGGATATCATGGCGGGGGCCATGATATTTCCCCAGATTTCGTGGCGCCTCTTCTTATTTCATTGCGTCCATGGCCCCCCCGCTGGGCCGCGCACATGCCACCGGTCATGATTTGCACCCCCCTCTCTTGGACACCCCCCTCTTGGTCGCTCCCGATAGATGGGGGCGGCGGGTCGCGCCGCATCGCCGATGCCTCGGCGATGCGGCTCGATGTGGGGCCCGACTCTCTCCCCGCCGACGGCGCCGATGCATCGGCGATGCGTCGGCGACCGTCTGACGCCATCTGTCACAGGCGACGTTTCGATCACAACCCCCGGCCTTTCGACGAAGAATGAGGCGACTAAGAAAAGGAGGGAAGCCCTGGGATTCACCCCCAGGGGGCTCTTCGGACGCACCTCCATCGAGGATGGACGACCCCCCTCGTACATCCCAGGTTCAGGCCCGAAAGTGTCAGGCCCAGTCGAACACCCACGAAGCCTGGGCTAGGGGCCGCTGTATGCCCTGTTGAGCAGCTGCTCGGATCCCATTCGGGAGGCCTCTGGTTTCCTTCTTTTTGTACGAAGCAACGCATGCTGAGCGATGGCGGGCGTTACCAGGGTTCTGTCGGGCGTGTCCTCCTACAGGGAGATTTCCGACGAAAAATTCAACAGACCCCCACAATTGTCAAAACATAGTCCAAAAATAGTCTGGAGGTTATTTTTGTTGAGTATTGTTTGGCCTTGTTGGGGTATGTTTGTGGTATTTTTTATTCTTCGTCGAAAATCTCCCTCTAGGGGGACACGCCCGACTTAACGTTGCCAGGGGGGAGGAGGCAGAAGGCATGAGAGGAGGCAGAAGGCATGAGATCTGGGCGGCGCTCTCCTGGCGCGCGGGGACGCGGCGGCCCTGGAAGCGGGCGTCCTTTTTGCTTGAAGGCGAGCTCCCTGCGCTGCGGCAGAGCCTCAGGAGGAGGAGGAGGAGGAGGAGGAGGAGGAGGAGGAGGAGGAGGAGGAGGAGGCGGAGGAGGGGAGGAGGAGGAGGAGGGAGGAGGAGGAGGAGGAGGAGGAGGAGGAGGGAGGAGGAGGAGGAGGAGGAGGAGGAGGAGGAGGAGGAGGAGGAGGAGGAGGAGGAGGAGGAGGAGGAGGGAGGAGGAGGAGGAGGAGGAGGAGGAGGAGGAGGAGGAGGAGGAGGAGGAGGAGGAGGAGGAGGAGCGCAGCTCGAGACAGAGCATCACCGCCCGCCAAACCACCCCAACTCAACCCGCAGGTTCCGATTCGACTTCCATGTCCAGTGGGTGGAGGGCTCGGGGGAGCATTCAAACAACTTTTTTGTTGGTCGGCGGGGCGAGAGCGAGCCTCTTCCGCTAAAGGCTAGGCGGGCTACGCACAGCTCTAATTTGGGAGACGGGGCACAGGCGGGTGGGGCCTCAACATTCAAAGAACACATGAAGCCCGTACCCCCTCCAGCCCGAAATTCGGGTCTTCGGGTTGGTTGGGTTGGGGTGGCATGGTAGGCAACTGGTCAAAGCAGGAGGGGAAGGCTTTTGCACTTCTGTGTGGTTTCCGGGGAGCCTTTACCTGTTTATCAGGCCCCCGGGCCGTCCAAAACTTGCTCAGGATTGCAGGCTTCCCGTAGGACAGTGGGCGAGACGCTTGGGTTCCGCGTGAAAGAGTCACGATGTCTGAGGGGTGGGTCGCCGCCGTCGTCGGACGAGGTCTGGCTTGCCCCGCCCCCGGAGATTTTTCGGAAGGGTTCGGGGTACCTCGGGGACCTTCGGGGGGCTTCTGCGTGGTCTTTGGGGGCAGTCGGGGGCTTCCCTGCGGTCTTGAGAAAGGTTCTCGGGAGGTGTGGGACGGAGGCATACGGTGGTCTTCGGAGGTGCTTGACGCTATGGGACGTCGTCGTCGGATCTAGGATCGAGGTCCCAAGCCCCTCTGCGTTTGTCAATGCCGCTGGCGCCAACTTGGAAGACGAGCGCACTATTGATGTGCCATTCGTGTGGGTGCAGCGTTTTGAAAAGGAACCGCCTCCAACCCTTCGAGCTGGAAGAAATGCCAAGAGGTACAATCAGGAAGGGCACGACAATGTCCAACCGTGTACCCTTTTTGAGATACGGGCCGCCCATCATCCTCGTAGTTGTTCGCAGCCTGCTCTACGAATGCGCGAATGCACGAGGGCGACACCTACGCATTGAAAGCTAGATGCTATCCGTCCGTGCAAGCTGTTGGGAACGCCTGAGGCCAGTGCGCGCGACGCTCACGCGAGAGCCACACCTTGAGAACGGGCCGTCCTCCGTCCACGCAGTTGTTGGACATTGTCCTGGCACCGCTCGGACGAGCGCATTTTTTTTGTCGGCGAGGACCCTGGAGGAGCATCCTGGATCATCGAGCAAACAGTTTTTTGGTCGTACGGGGAGTGGACGGGGAGTGGACGTACGAAACAGAAGCACGCACGAAACAGAAACAATGCACAGGGAATGGACGTCCGAGCGATGGCAAGACTGTGAGACGACTGCGCACGGCGCTACAGCCGGAGGCGCTCGGGCTTCCTTTTTGAACGCGGGCCACCTTCCGTCCGCCTGCATGGGCGCAGGAGGAGGAGGAGGAGGAGGAGGAGGAGGAGGAGGAGGAGGAGGAGGAGGAGCGGAGGCGGAGGAGGAGGGAGGCGGAGGAGGAGGAGGAGGAGGAGGAGGAGGAGGAGGAGGAGGAGGAGGAGGAGGAGGAGGAGGCGGAGGAGGAGGAGGAGGAGGAGGAGGAGGAGGAGGGGCGCAGGAGGAGGCGGAGAAGGCAGCCACGCAGGGAACGGAGGCCAGGAATAGCTCTACGTACTTGGGTTGGGGGCGATTCGAGCGTAAGTTTGTGGAGGACGATCAATGGAGAGGAAGCATGTTGCCAAATAATTTCCAGATGTCCCAACATGTGTTGACTATGTCTTAAACATGTAAAAAAACATGTGTTAAACATGTTTAGATCATTTTTCTACATTGTAAACGCATTCTAGATTCAATGATAGGACTGGTAGGGTGTCCATTGTCGTGGCATCCACAAGCGTAAGTCACTGATGCTTCACCCTCGCCTGGCATCGAATGCATACCGACGAACTAGCGCCAACCAGCTCCCAGTGCCGCCGAAAGGTGTTCAGTTGGCCCCATCTAATGCGGAAGCGGCTCCCAATAGCAGCCAATGGCGCCCGCTTTGAGCGCCATGGGACGCGATATTAGGCATCATCTGGACGATCTCAAGCTTCCGTCAGCTGTTTTCGTAAGGATGAGGAGGAATTCGACGGCGGTCCCCCCGGGGAGGGGTGTGTCGAGAGGAAGAAGGAGGAGGAAGATGAGGAAGAGGAGGACAGGAAGGGAGGGAGCAGAGAGACGACGATGAGGAGGAGGTCCAGAGTATTCCCAGGATGCCCCCAAGAGCAGGTAGTATAATCACGTTAAGGCCAACCTCTGGCTGTTGAACGTCGCAAGCCGGCCTGAACTTGCTCATACGCGGAATTGCTCGCATTTCCGCCATCGGCTTCCTTCCCTCCTCCGCCTCCGCTTCTTCCTCTTCCTCCTCATGCCCCTCCTCCCGCTTTGACGGGTCTTGTTCGCTTGGAGTTGGGCTCCAAAGTCATAGACAGACATTGGAGATGTCGCAGCTTTGGTAGGGTTGTTTGTTGGGATGCTTTGGTGCTAATTTTTACGGTACGCGAGGTCGTTGGTTCTGTCCGCATCGTTTTCTGTTGTTGTTCCTCCTCCGAACATTGCGCGGATAACGCGAATCGTTCACACGCGGAATACAATTGCCAGGTAAGCAGGTTCAGTGTTGCCGCAAGCAGAGTTTGAGACAGCACGTCCTGAGAATTCGAGGACAGGCCGCCGTCGAGTGCGCTGCCCGAAGCCAGCGTCCCCGCCGCGGTCGCGAGGACCGCTTCAAGCAGGTGACGCGGCCGCGCAGCTTCGAGAGCCTGGCGGCGGGGTGCCGAAGTCCCGGCTGTCGGCGCCCGCCGCGTCGCGCAAGTTCGCCAGTCTTTTCTCGTCGGGGTGTTTGTCCGCGGTGGGTCCGTTGGGCCATACACTCCAGGCGATGCTTAAGAAAACCTACGTTTTCGGCCAGAGTCTCGATTATTCTTAACGTTTCAATGTAGATCTCAAGATTTGAATAGACATTCTGGATTTTTATTCAAGTTCTGAGACTATGAATTTCTTAACCCATGATTTCTTAAGCATTTCGCAGGGTGTACAGTCGGGTCTGGTTGGCAGGTCGACCCTGCAAAGTCACGGTGGACTCCTTAACCTTCGTTTCCTGTGTGTTGTGTGGAGAGCTCGTTCTGTTTACTAGTTGAACCCGTCACGTCTGTGACGGGTGGCTCCCCCCCTCGTAGCGGTATCGACTGTACGCGCGGGTGTTGCCGGTTTCCCCTCAGGTATGGCGTTATGTTCACGGGCGGGTTGTGATGCTGACAGGCATGCGTTGGTATTCGCAAGCTTGTTGTGGCGCTCGCAGGCATCCCGTTCGCCACGAATGGCAGGAACGCCAGGAGTAGGGTGTTGCTGCTACTACTGCTCCTTCTACTTATATTGTTCCTGCTGCTACTACGGTGCTCCTGCTCCTCCACCGGTGTTCCTCCTCCCGTGCTCAACCTGCTGATCATTTTGCTGCTCCTCCTCATGCTGTTTCTCTTGTTGCTCCTTCTGCTGCTCCTCTTGCTGTTCATGCCAGTGCTCCTCCTGCTGCTCCTCCTGCTGCTCATCCTGCTATTATTCCTTTTGGTACTGCGTCTCCTCGTGCGGCTCCTGCTGCAGTCCCTCATGCTGCTCCTGCTGCTCATGCATTGTCCAGCTGCTCATCCTGCTGGTCTTCTGGCCGCCACTCCTGCAGCTCTTCCTGCTGCTCTTCCTGCTGCTCTTCCTGCTGCTCCTCCTGTTGTTCTCGTTGTTGGTCCTCGTCATGCTCTGTTCGTGTTGTTTCTGCAGCTGTTCCTGCTGGTCCTTCTCCTCCTGCTGCTCCTCCTGCTCTTTTTTTTCTCATGCTGCTCCTCTTGCTGCTCCGCCTACTCTCCTCCCTCCGGATGCTCCTCCTGATACTTTTGTTCCTCAGAGGTTCCTCCTGCTCATGCTCCTCCTGCTCCTTCTCCCCCTCTTCCTCCTGCTGTTCCTCCTGCTACTCCTGCTCGCTGCTCATTTGACCCGCCCCCCTCCCTGCTCCTATTGCTCCCGCCCTTGCTGCGCCTCCTGCTGCTCTGGTGTTCCTCCTGCTGTTCCACTTGCCGCGCCTCCTATGCTCTTCTTGCTGCTTGTGTTGCTGTTCCTCCTGCTGCTATTACACTTGCTCCTGCTGCTCTTCGAGATGCTCCTCGCTTTCTCCTGCTCATCCTCCCTGTCCTGTTGCTGCTCCTCATTCTGCCTGTAACACGTATGCAACTGTTACTGCTACTATGGTTCGTATTCTTACTACTACTACTACTACCACGACTACTACTACTACTACTACTACTACTACTACTACTACTACTACTACTACTACTACTACTACTACTACTACTACTACTACTACTACTACTACTACTACTACTACTACTACTACTACTACTACTACTACTACTACTACTACTACTACTACTACTACTACTACTACTACTACTACTACTACTACTACTACTACTACTACTACTACTACTACTACTACTACTACTACTACTACTACTACTACTACTACTACTACTACTACTACTACTACTACTACTACGACTACTACTACTACTACTACTACGGCTACTACTACTGCCACTACGGTTACTACTGCGACGACTACTATTACTATTACTTTCGCAGGTACTACTACAACTACTGCTACGACTACTACTACCACAACTACAACTCCTACACCTATGATTATTATTAGTCGTATTATTAGTAGTATTGTTAATCATATTTGCATTACTACCACAACTGCGACTACTACTACTACTACTACGACTACTACTACTACCACTACTACTACTACTACCACTACTGCTACTACCACCACTACTACTACTACTACTACTACTACTACTACTACTACTACTACTACTACGACTACTAGTAGTACGACTACTACCACTACTACTACTACTACTACTACTACTACTACTACTACTACTACTACTACGATCATTACTACTACGTCTACTTCTACGTATACGTCTACGTCTACTACTACTACTACTACTACTACTACTACTACGTCGACTACTACTACTACTACTACCACTTCTAGCACTACTACGACTACTACCACCACGACGACTACTAATACTAGTACTGTTACCATTACTAGGACTACTACTACTACTACTACTACTACTACTCGTACTAGTACGACTAGCACGAACCACGACTACTATCAGTATTGCAACTACTTGTGTTACTGCTGCTAGTGCTGCTACTACAACTATTACTATGACCACTGCAACTACAACTACGACGACGAAGCGCTACTACTACGGCGACTAGCATTATTACTACTACTACTACTGCTCCGGCTACTACTACTACTACTACTACTACCACGATTTCTACTACTACTAATACAACGGGTTCTTCTATTGATATTGACACTACGATCACTACTACGACTACCTCTACTACGACGATTACGACGATTCCTATTACTTTTGCTTGTACAGCTGCTACGACGACGGCTACTTATACTACGACTGCGACTGCGATCAGTACCATTATTGCTACACCGGCGACTACGAGCACTACTACGACTACGACCACTGCTGCGACTACTACTACTACTACTACTACTACTGCTACTACTACAACTACAACTACGACTACTACTACGACTACTTCTAGTATTACTACTAGTATTACTACCACACCTACTACTACTACTACTACTACTACTACTACTACTACGACTACTACTACTACTACTACTACTACTACTATTACGATCACTACTACTACTACTACTACTACTACTACTACGACTACTACTACTGCTGCTACTTCTTCTACTACTACTACTACTACTACTGCTGCTGCTGCTGCTGCTGGTGCTGTTGCAGCCAGTGCTACGACGACGACAATTGTACGTCGTACAGCTACGATTGCCATTACGGCTATGGCTACGAGCACTTCTGCGCCTAGTCTCCTGATTCGTTGTACGATTATTATTATTAGTAGTAGTACTACTACTAGTGCGATTGCGACTTTCATGTTTACCATTACTAGTGCCACTACGACTACGACTACTACTACTACTACTACTACTACTACTACTACTGATGCGACTACTACCATCAATACTCGTACTACTACTACTACTACTACTACTACTACTACTACTACTACTACTACTGCTGCTATTACGACGACTACTACCACGACGACTACGACTACTACTACTACTACTACTACTACTACTACTACTACGACTACGACTACGACTTCTACTCCTTTATTACTACTACTACCGCGACTATTGCTACGACTACTGCTACTGTTACTAGTACGGCTACCTCTTCCAATACGACTACGACGACTACGTCGACTACTACTACTACTACTACTATTATAATTGGTACTCGCAGTACGGCTACTACTACTACTACTACTACTACTGCTACTCTTTCTGTTACGACTGATGCAACTACTACTATCACTACTCGTACTTCTACGACGATTAAAACTACTACTGCTACGACGACTGTTGTTACTAGTTTGCGACTTCTGCTAATACTCCTACGGCTCGTACTACCACGACGATTGATACTCATACTACGTCTACTACTACTGCTACGTGTACCAGGACTACTCCTATGACTACTACTTCTAGTACTGGTGGCGCTGCAGCTAGAACTACTGATGTTGTTGCTGCTGCCACTGCTAGTGTTAGTACCACGATTGTCATTATTACTACTATTATTGCTACTACTTCAACTACTACTCGTATTACCATGTCAGGCTTACCACAAGTGTTACAACTATTACTATTACTAGTACTACTGCTACTACTACTACTGCTACTACTACTACGACTACTACTGCTATTTGTACTACCACCACTACTACTACTACTACTACTACTACTACTTCTACTATTACTACTACTACGATTACTACTACTACTACTACTACTACTACTACTACTACCACCACTACAACTACTGCTACTACTACTACCACTGCTACTACTACTACTACTACTACTACTACTACTACTACTACTACTACGACTACTATTACTACTATTATTACTACTACTACTACTACTACTACTAACTGACATTGTTTGCCCTAGTACGTCGTGCTACGTATTACGCACTACCCACTGGCACGCCAAATCTCATTAGTAGCAGAAGTTGTAGTAGTGGTAGTAGTAATTGTACTGCTATGATTAATTGTGGTAGAAGCAGCTCTTAAGTACGAGTCGTAGGAGTAGTATTTCTAGCCGTCGCTTCAGCATTAGTAGTGGCAGTAGTTTTCGTTGTAAAACTATAGTAGGTCTGGTACCACGAGTGCGACTAGAACGGTTTCGGATCATGGTACTGTTGCGATTCTTTTTTTATTACTACCACTACAGCTTCTACTTATGTTGCTACTCCCCTGCTGCTTCCATTGCTACTGTTCGTTGTCGCCGACGGTCGTCGTCGTCGTCGTGAAGGCCGGTCGTTGTTGTCGTTGTCGTCGTCGCCGTCTTTGTTGGTCGTCGTCGTCGTCGACTTGACTTTGTTGTTTTCGTTGTCGTAGTTGTTGGTGGTTGTCGTCTTGCCGTCGTCTTTACTTGTGTTGTTATTAGTGTTTGTACTACCACTACTACTACCATCACTACTGCTGCTGCCATACCCGAGCCTGCCACGTTACTGTTACCCCTCACGGCGGCCAGACAGCCCCCGCGTCACGGACGTTACGTGGGGGAATCATACCACGCTCTCGTTTGCCTTGCCCTTTTGTTTTCTCCTCCTCCTGCCCT